CCCCCCCCCCCCCCCCCCCCCCAGTAACCAGCAGCTGCAGAAACCAGGGCCTGTCTCCCTGGAGCATCCGACCTACAGTGGGCACTCGGTACCTAGAGACCCATCTCTCATCAGGACGGGGTGGGGGTGCCAGGTGAACCCAGGGAGATAGACCCCAGGTGGACAACACAGGGGGCCACCCACCTGGGCTCGGCGCCATCTCAACCACAGCGGGACACAATCACAGCAAGGGAAGCCAAGTGAGCGAGGCCAGGGCAGGCCTGCCGGCCACCAGCACACAGAAGACGTCTTCACTGGGACTGGGCCAATCTTGGGTTTGGAGGAGCTCCACACCTGTGCAGAGGCACCTGGGCCATGTGGGGACAGTCACAGGGGTGCCCGGCTCTGCTGACGAGGCCAAGGCCAGTCTTGAGCTGGAACCGGATGCATCTGCAGAACTCACCTCAAGGGACTTGATCGGGTTCCATGCTCCTAGCAAGCAGCTCACTGGTTTTGACGGATTCCCAGATGGGGCCGTAGACAGGAGTGCTCCGTCCTAGGACAGGTACTTGCCACGGGGCACACCGCGTTGCTCACGATGCCCCAGGGTGCCGGGGTTCAGGGTCCCTCCCTGGCCTGGTTCAGCTGTCACCCTACCCTTCTTCTGAGGCCATGGGCCCCCGAGGTCCTGCACAGCTCTGGCCAGCACCCAGCCGTGAGCCCATCAGTCAGTCCCTGGGCCTTTCTGACTCAGACTGCCCAGTGTAAGAAAATGTCATTCGAGGACTTAATCAGGAGATTCAAAATGGAAATCCGGACTTCGACTTTTTAAAACCTCTCAATGTCCAGCTGCACAGACCCCCTCCTCCAGCAACGGCTGGGCTAATTGGGGTCCGTGGGGCTTGGCACCACCGCTCCCTACCGTGCCCGTGATCCCAGGGCCTCCTCACTGCCTTGACGTGGGGCCCCACCCTGAGGGGGGGCCTCGGTGGTCCTGCCCCGAGACCTCACTAGAATCCGGCTGGGGGTCACGGCCTCCTCCTCCCGGTGCGCACCTTTCCCTGAGGGAGCCCCCGCCTTGGGATCCTGCAAGCCCTCCTCACCGGCCAACGGGAACAGTCCCGCTCCTTCCACCCTGGGTGGCCGGCTGGGAGCACCTGGGGGGTGGGAGGCCCAGAGCCCAGCCAAGTGGCACAACCTGGTCACGTGGGGCTGCCCGGAAGCAGTAGCACGACCTGCTCCACAGCGATGACTGTTACAGGGATGGCCGACACAGCCGTCTTAGCTACTCTCTCCCCCAAGCATGGCCCAAGCCCAGAGAGGGGGGAGGGGGGAGAGAGTACCCCCCCCCCATGCATGGGTGCTGCCGGCCGGGGCAGGTGGCCTAAGGGGCCAGTGAGCCTCCGTCGGCAGGGGGGCCCCGCCACGTGCAGGGGCGCTCACGCAAGCCGAGCCGCCGCGGGGAGCTGTGGGCACCCAGGCTGAGCCGTGCGGTGTGCGCAGAGGCAAGGACGGTGAGGGCCTGTGGGCGCTGAAGCCCGTCTCTGCTGCCTGTCCTCCCCCCCCCCCCCCCCCCCCGTGGGTGACTTTGCAGAAAGGAGCCTGAAGGGACCGGCTCTTCACTGGCGAGGAAAGGGATGGGTAGGCGCCTCGGGGGCTCTGAGTGTACTTTCCCCTCCCAACATTTTAACACATTTTTCTTTTACACGTTTGTTTGAGAGAGCACGCACAAGCAGTGGGGGCAGAGGCAGAGGGAGCGGCACACTCCCCGCCGAGCAGGGAGCCCGATGCGGGGCTCGATCCCAGGACCCCGGAATCATGACCTGAGCTGAAGGCAGACGCTTAACCAACTGAGCCACGCAGGTGCCCCATTTTATCCCATCTTCGAGTCCGTATCAACTCAGGACAGATCATGGTGTGAACACCTGCATGCCCGCTCCTGGATCCATCCACTGGCGGTTCGGAGGGCAGATGTGTAGGGACTCTCCCTGCAGTTTTGCTCTGAGCCCTCTGAAACTCCCCCACAGGCCTGGCTTCAAAGCCTCCCTCCAAAAGAAAGGTGGGGAAGGGTGAGTCTGCACAGGCCCCCGTTCCCCACTAGCAAGGCAAAGGACCTCGGGAAGCTTCGTGTTACTTAACTTCGCTCCCATCCAGTACGCGAAAGCTCCGGAAGGCTCTGCTTTCATGAAAAGGTCAGGCAAACCCACTAGTCTTTTAGGTCTTAAGTTGAGGCTCCAAGTCAGCTAACTGCTGGAACAACCCAGAACATGGGGAAAGTCTGGTTAGAACGGCCTTTTCCAGGGGCGCCTGGGTGGCTCAGTTAAGCGTCTGCCTTCAGCTCACGTCATGATCCCAGGGTCCTGGGATCGCGCCCCTGCTCAGCGGGGAGTCTGCCTCTCCCTCTCCTGCTCCCCCTGCTTGTGCTCTCGCTCTGTCAAATAAAATCTAAAAATACAAAGAACGGCCTTTTCCAGTCTGGTAGACGTTAGCCACTTGTGGCGATTTAAGTTAAATTAAAACCACTCTCAGCCCCTTGGGCAACACCCGAGGAGCTCAGCTGCATACCCGCTGCGGCCGGTGCTCTGGGGCGCGTGGACAGAGCCCCCCCCACATGGGCGGGCAGGCAGGGGGGCTCCTCCACAGCGCGGAGCTCACACGGACACGGCAAGATGCAGGGAGAGGCTGGGGCCCCCCAACGGGACTTCGCAGGGGCACAAGGTGCTCCACAACATCTGACACGGTCGCCCGGGGTGTCCGTTGAGGGGCCAGGCCTGGCGCCACAGGCGTTCTCGGGCAGCTTCTCTGGCGTGGGCCAACCACCCACCGCTCCAGCCAGCACCCCGCCCCCCACGTCAGGGTCAGTGAGCTCTGACCACTTTTGCCCGGTTTGATCAAGTTCTGCTGGAACCCAGGGTCCCCCGCGTGCCGTACGGCGGGTGGCGGCCCCCAGACAAGCAGCGGGGCCAAACGGAGCCACCCGGGAGCCGCGCACAGGTCCCCCGCAGCCAGCGTCTGCCCCGCCCGCACGGTGCGTTCCCACCGAGCACTTAGGCAACGTCCTCACGGGTCTCCGTCCCCGGGTGGCGGGAAAGCCCTGGCTGAGGCCTGCCTGGGAAGACACGGTCCTGAGACGCCACCATCTGTCCCCCACTTCCCACCGTCAGGCACCGATCGCCCGCCTGGGGTCGGGGCGCCTCACCCTGGTGCTTTGTTCAGCGCCAAAGCCGCACCTCCCAGCGGCACACACACAGACCCCGCCGTTCACCACCGCAGCAACACGCGCCCCTTCCTGCGGGAAGTGCTGGTCCCCGAGACTGCGGCCTTGGAGCTCCAAGAAAGGCCAGCAACACGTTCCAAAGATGCCCCCACTGCCCCCACGGGAAAGCACTTCCCGCCTTTTCTCCACCCACGGCACGCACGTGCAGGTCACAGTCCTGTTACCACATGCTTCCCAAGGGACTCCGTCTGGGGACAGTGATGGTCGCCAACAGACGGGAACGTCCTCAGGGTTCAGAACAAGCTAAAGGCAGTTCCACCCCGTGCCCCAAGAAATGTTCTACGAATTCAGACGCTCGACCCCACAGCTGGGACGGAATGAAGAAGTACACGCAGAACATGTCCACACCATCAGGCTTCCATACAGTCACTTGGTAACTTGAGGGAGAACACTGTGCCAGCTACCCGGCGAGAACCGACCCACGGCCAAAGCGAAAACACAAGCGCGACCGCGTAATGCCCAAAGTCAAACACACAGAAAACGATCCTCTCTGGCCTGCCCACACGTCCTCCTTCTACAGCAGAAAGGCTCGGGCACGGAGGGCACCCCTGCAACGTGCCGCCCACACGCCCCGGGAGGCAGCTCTTGGGGAGCGAAGGCAACGCGGGGCCATGGAAACCTGGAAACGACGTCCTTCCACAGCAGAGACCAGCCCCGAGCCAGGAACCCACGCCGGGGTGGCACAGTGGGCCTGGGCAGCAAGACGCACACAGCTGCCCTGGGCAGCACCTCCCACTGGAATTTCCCGTATTTCCAGCCCCCTCCTGCGTGCCCGGCTTCCTCCTGGAAAACCTCCTCTTGCTTGAGCTGAAACGGAACTAGGAAGAAGCCAAATCCCAAAACCCCCAGGAAACCAGGACCGTCCTGAGCAACATGACCAGTAGAGGGG